CAAAAGGACTGTTTCTTGTTTCTTGATCTCATATGCCTGAAATTGGAGATATCTCTAGAAGTTATCAGCAGAGAATGCTGATCCCGAATAGTGGCTCTTCCCCCAAAATAATTCTTCATTTTCTGGCTGTTAGCACGCAATAGCTATAGCTCGCTAAGATGCTGGAATAGCTCGTTTCTCTGAAAATCAGTTACCTTGAAACCAGCAAGGAAATGTAAACATATGATGGACTTGAACATGAATGGAACTTCTTTTTCTCTATTCCTCAACAAAACCTCACAGTCAGGCAATTCTCCCTTTCTGGTGCAATTTTGCTTTGAGCAATAAATTAACTTGATTAATTCTGAAAAATATCGAGCTTAATAAGTTCCTTAGAATCGAGGAACTGCACAATTATTTCGCTTTAGAGAAGTTAGCTTTCCAAAATGGAATCGGCTCACTGTTCGTCTCATCATCTGTCCTTACTGCAATAATACGAGCTACGTTTCTGATAGATTTACATCGCGTTTTTAGGGAGAACTAACAGTATCTCAGAGTTCGCATTTATTTATTACCTCATGACCTTAAATAGAGGACCATTAAATTGTTCGCTTTAGTCTTGGTAAATATTTAGTACTGCCCTCTTTTTAAAGACACTTAAAAGACACCTAAAAGTGTCTTGAATGTAGAATATTACTCAAATATTGCCCTTGGTACGATGAAGTGCTCAGTTCTTTTTAAAAAACACTCGTGTTCGAAAGTAAAACAAGAAGCTCCAGTTAGGTTAGACTCATGCACAGGAGGTTGTTACTTGTAGAAAATAGGTACGCAATATGTACATAGAAGTAAATGCAGTTTGAGAACAGTAGCCATATTACAACTAGAAATAATACTTGAAAAGCTTAAACCCCGAAAAGTGTATCAGAGATCTAGGATATAGTAAATGAAAATGCAGGAGAGACGATAAGTGTTGTAAACGTCATATATCGTCTTAATTACACGGATATATTCAAGTGAATAAGACAGCGAGCATAGTTGAAAAATATTTGAGGGAGAATTAACAAAGGATAAGAATAGTTGCATGTCTCTAATTGTTTTTAAGGCTGAGTTCAGCGAAGGCACGTTACTACAAAGTAAAGGAAATAATTAAATTCAACTGTGTCCAAGATGTGTTTATGCATTATGTGAGTAACATCATGATAGCATTTCTCTTCAATCTGTTCTTCAGTCGGAGAGGTTTTTAGAAATGATGGTTGCGTTTTGTAGATATGGTGGTATTTTTTACTCCATTATCTTTGACTCAGATTGATGAAGATTGTCAAACAAATACTTAATTGAGCTACCGCTGTGTTTTTTTTTTCTTTAATTAACGAAAAAACAACAACGGCAATAAAGAATTAGATTGCTGTAGGGGTTTACCTTCAAAGGAGAGAGAAATGTCAGAGTTAAATTTCTTCTGTCTGGGTTTAAAAATGGCGTAGTTAGTTTTCTTTATATTAACTGAAAGCTTATTAAATTTTAGCCAAACATCAATATTTTAGAGTTCATCATTAAGTACCGATTTTAAGCAATTTGGGTTTGAGTGAGAATAAAAGATACTGGTGTCATCAGCGAAAAGCAGAGGGTCTGTCAATTCAGAGGCGTTAGGGAGGTCATTAAAGTATAGAATAAACAATAGTGGGCCTAAAATCAAACTTTGACAGACACCACACCAGATGGTTTGCATTGGAGAGCAAGCGTGATTGAATTGGACAAATTGCTGACGGAAAAAAAGTAGCTTTTAAACCACTGCAGAGCCACATCATGGATACCATAGTGCTCCAGTTTAGCAAGATTTGATGGTCGAGAGTGTCGAGTGCTTTGGAAAGATCTAGGAAAACACCCATCGTTGTTTCGTGTTGGTCGATTGCAGAAGCAATTTTATTTACCAAATGAATTAGCGCGTGCGATGTCGGGTGATTTTTCCGAAATCCAAATTGACAGCGATAAAGTTATCGTGCTTTTCGGCAAATTCTACTAAGTGATTGTATATGACTTTTTCGAACAATTTTGGTAAAATCAGACAACAAAGAAATAGGTCTGTAGTTTATAAAAAAGCTAGGATCCTCTGCTTTGAAGATGGGGATGATTATTTGGATGATCCGTTTCGAACAATGACAACAGATCTTCAACTTTTCTACTGACTCGATAGTTTCGATGTTTGGCACTTTCAAAGTCGTCTCCTTTTGTGGGTTAACATTATCCTGTAGTTTTAAATTTTCTTAGACAGGATCTGGAGTTAAAGAAATCACAGAGTTGGTTGTGGTGGTCAGTTTTCCTATTCAATTCCAGCATCCTACACTCAGGTGTGTAAATGCGTAGACATTGTTTTCTTGTAATTGTCGAGTGATGTCATTCCAAACTTCGAGTGCAATTTGACCTGTGGCGTCAGCGATAGTGGCATTTAATATAGGGTTCTTGGCTTGGCCTACAACTTCTGTTTCACTGAATTTGAGAACTTGACATATAACTAGAAAGATAGATAGAAAGATAGATAGATAGATAGATAGATAGATAGATAGATAGATAGATAGATAGATAGCTGGATAGATAGATAGATAGATAGATAGATAGATAGCTGGATAGATAGATAGATTGATAGTTTATTTGTAAAAGGCTTGCAGCCACTAAGCTGAATTGTGTATTTACAATATAGTGTAAAATATAATATAGTATTGTAAAATAATATATTTAACAATTATTCCACGAGCGAGCGTTGGATATGAGATGAGATAGCCAACGAGGCCCGTCGCGCTAGTTGGCTATAATCATCTCATATCCAACAAGCGCGAGTGGAATAATTGTTTTATTGAAAACGCTAAATCAAATTATTAAATTTTTAGCTCCCTTTTAATTTTAAGCTGACACGTACGCTTACCATATTTGTAGATTATGGTATATTGGCTGATTACCATAGTGGCTAAGCCAACAAAAATTCTTGAATTGCATTATCCAATGACCTAGTTTTTAATAAAAAATGATATCTGATAATAGTGAGTATAATATAATGATAGTAATAAAGTCGTATATATATAATAATATCCTATAAATATAAAGAAAGCTTGAACTTTTAGAATATATACAATGTCATCGATCTCATTTGCAAAACTCACTGAGCACTAAAATTCGTTGTTAATACATGATCTTACTAAATATATTGTTGAAACGCTCGGTCTTACATTTGGGAATCCCAAAACGCCTTTTGCACCGAAGATTATAACACGACGGCCCTGACGATTGTTATCTTCTGGGCCTTATCTAGCGCCATTAGTTTCTGCTGGCTGAGTTCTTGTGAGAGTTGAAATGAGCACTCAAAGCTGTTTGAAGGTGTGATTTAAGTAGTATCGTTGACCACCAGTTTAGTCAGGTCGGAAGTCTTGGAGTTGCGAGAGTAGTGAGTGATCTTCACTGGTATTCTAGAGGCTTCCTCAGCCAAAATGACACGCTTTGATGTTAAATGACATAAAGATTCTTGCATCAATTTTTCTCCCAGCTATAGTTTAAATGTGGAAAATTCCAGTGTATCTCTTCTGTTGCGTTTAATTGGTGAGACGTTGTGAACGTATCAAACAGGGTTACCAGACATTAGAACTGTTGACACTAGCAGCCCCACTGGAATTAGTTGAGGGGAAATTACTACCAGTAGCTTTTGCGGTAGGAGTTCGAGGAACAGAGCCAGTTGCAGCAGCATTGACACTGGGACTAATATGAAGGAAACCACTAGCCTTTTCATCATCAAATCTAAGATAGAGTATAACTGGCTTGTTAGGAATTTGGTCAACATAAATTCTAATGAGATACAATAAATATATGAAGTCCATATATTTTTGAACTGCGGTATTAGATGCGTATGATGGACGATCTTCGCAGTAGATAGCGCTATTTAGGCAATAGCGAAAAACAGACCTGAAAAAAATCCGGCCTGTACGGGATTCGAACCACTGACCTCTGCGATACTAGTTCAGCGCTCTACAAATTGAGCTAACAAGCCAACTGAGAGCAGGCGGTTAAGTTGATTCGTAATAAACCCGTGAAAGTGATAAATGAGATACAATAAATATATGAAGTCCATATATTTTTGAACTGCGGTATTAGATGCGTATGATGGACGATGTATAGATGCGTATGATGGTCAGTGGTTCGAATCCCGTACAGGCCTGATTTTTTTCAGGTCTGTTTTTCGCTATTGCCTAAATAGCGCTATCTACTGCGAAGATCGTCCATCATACGCATAAATTCTAATAGTGGTCGCCATTTCACCGTTGACAAGTCTGTCGGTGATGTCAGTATTTGTGGTAAGCGTTACTCTTGCAACTTCTTTGAGGGGTATTCCATAATCAAGGCCACCTGTTTCAGATCGTTTAAGTTATTTAACTCAAGTGGAGGTTGATTATTGCGAAGAATGTAGAGTCTTCAAACCGTGTTAAAAAGGAGCTACTAGTACTTAGAGCATGGAAGGGATAAAAAAGATTTTGAATTCGTGTCTCATCATGCATAAGAACGGAATGAACAAAATGAACAAATCATGTTCTTTTGAATAAATAGATAACATAGAGAATAAAATAATGCATTATAGCTCATACAACTGCAAGTCAATAAGTACCAGACATCGTATGATACGAATGTATTTTGTAATGTATTGGCACAAGTGGTGATTGTGAAAGTCCAGGCAGTAGACCTCCCTGGCTATGTGGTTACGTGGTTTCAAAAAGGTAAATAATGATTCAAAATGGATGTTCAGGCAATGAGTCGTAATTTAAAGATATGATAATTGGGTCATGAAACCAGAAAGCAATCATTTGGAGATACAAGCTAATACATGAATACCTTTAGGTGAGCTGTTTGCATCTAAAGCCAAATTGTTAGAGATCAATTATCAAACTATCACAGCGAAGGCCAATAATTACATTTGTTTTGGTGTCAACCATACTGAAAGCTACTATCTGTCTACATTTTCATCAAAGGGATTTTTTCTTTGCAGAATGGCGTTGGCACAATTAGAGGAGACAACCAACAGAGTGAGGACCTTAAATGAAGAGCTCAGGCAAAAAACAGAAAGAGTCAAAGAAGTCGCTTTAGCTGTTGCTGAAGAATACCCAAACATTGCTCGTAATCCTGCCAACCCTTTAGACGTCCTAGACATACAATCCGAACTTGACAACTTAAATGATAGGTTCAACTATTTACAGGAACAGCTCTCAGACAAAGTTGTCATAACATTTGTTGGAGCAACCAACAGTGGTAAATCATCTCTTATCAACGCCTTACTTCGAGACGACCGTCTTCCCGTTTCTCACGGAGAAACCACAATGTGCGCTATCAAAGTTTGCACCACAGAAGCTGATGAGTGGAAATTCTATCTACATGGGAACGAACTTCCACAGAACACGATAGAAGAGGTGAAAGAACTCCTTAGCAGGATGTCTGGCGAGGAAAACGAAGATGCAAGAAAACAATTACAACTTGAAACACGCAGCGTGGTGCAGATAGACTGGCCTAAACATCTTTGCAAATGGTTGCCTGAAAATATTGTTTTATACGACACTCCGGGTTTCAACGTTGATCGTGACGCCATGAACTTGATTGAAGAGTGGTGCAGGAAGGCGGATATCATTGTGGCTGTAATGGATGTATCTTCCTCAGCATTAGTGGAGGTAGGAAGGCATACACATTGCCGTTTACTATAATAACGATTACCCCCTACTCCACCTCCTCATCATGATCATGATCATTATCATATATTTAACAGTGAAGGACCAGCGGTATTGGTTTTGGTATCTTAACATCACATACACTATTCAGCTAGAGCTTTTAAACGCTTAGTCATCCTTTTTCCCCGCCTGAAATTTGTTGCAATTTAAGCAACCAAAGATGGAAAAGGTGACATTTAATGCCTCGAAAATTAAAGTGCTACTGAAACGTAATTTTCATATCCGAGATTTTTGCAATATAATAGAGCTTGAACGTTATTTGCAAACGCTGTGTACTTTTTTTGGGCCAACGCATATCGGAAAGTACATTTTTAAGCATTCGAAGTTGACCGGCTGAGATCAAAATTGGCGGCCATCTTGGCGCGGCCAAAACAGCCCTGTGACGTCACTGGTTGTGTACTTCTGTGAAAGAAGGGTAAAAGCATGGAGTGTGGCTTGCATGTTGGGAGGCCGAAAAAGAGGATTTCGGGCAAAATGCCATCTTCGTCTTATTCATCGGCGGCCACATCGGCATCTTGGCTATTTGCGAGAGGTTCGCCTGGATAGGGAGCAAAATTCCCGACTGATACCGAGAACGAATCTCTACCAGTCTATTTAGTTAATCGGCAACTGACGAGATCNNATCGAATCAGCGCGCGTGGCGCAAGCTGAAAGCAATCAAGACAACTTAACGATCGAGACAGTCAAAAAAATAGCTGTACATCTACAAAGGCGAACGATTCGAAAAAGACGCAATCCCTGATGTGCGTACTCAGTGCCACACATAAAGCAAATTCTCATGAAAAACTGGCATTTAATAGAAACACAACCACTACTGAGCGAACTATACAAAAATCCGCCGCTCGTATCTTACAAAAGAGGGCGGTCGCTCAAAGACATACTCGTGAGGGCTAAACTTTGAATAGGCTACTCTAAACACACGCTTGGGAGTCGTGTAGGCCTGTCAACCCCATTTTACGCCACCATCTTCCTCTTCGCTACTGGAGACAACTTCGCTTCGTTCAGAAGAAGATTCACTTGACAAAACTTCAATGTCTGCCATCTCCTTCGCCCCCGAATACAAACAAACAGTGAGTGAAATAAACCACGCTATCGGAGTGAACACAACCAGTGACGTCATCAATCCATTTCACTCGGTACCAGGGCCCGGACATGGTTTTGTGTAAAATTTTTGATTTGAACGGTTAAAAAAGATATCTTTCGCTTCTTTTTGGCCAAAGCAAATTATCTCATGATCATCAGCATATTCAAAACTACAGGTTAGAGCAAATATTTCAGATACGAAAATTTCGTTTCAGTAGCACTTTAAAGCTGACAAATACTAACGCGAGGTGCATCTGCTGTTCGATCTTTGTTTCAATGTCAACATATTTGATCGTATTCACGATCTAGATATGAAAATAAATGGTTTAATCATCTACGGCGGCCACGATATCGCCGATCTCGAAGACTCTTTACCAGAGGTGCAGAAAACAGAAACATCCGTGGACGAATACACGAAGCTCATCCGAAAGTTAGACAACCACTCTCTCTCTCAAAGAAAAATAAAGATAACGCGAGGTTTCAACTTGGTAACCTCCAGCAAGATCCAGACGAATCGCTTGCCAAATACCATGCTCGTGCACGTGATACCGCCAAAAAGTGCGAATATCACAATGAAAGTGGCGCCATTCGATACCATATAGCCAAAACAGTGCGCAATAGAAGAATTAGAGTTAAAGCCATTCGCCAGAGCTGGACACAAGAGATCCTTGATGAAATTGCTATCGACGAAGAAGCCGATCAGCAAGCGATTGAAATCAAAAAGAAGATTTCTCAGGGGGAAAATCAAGTTAAACGCGTCGAAGAAACTCCAACTTTAAAATCATGTGGTCACTGTAGGCGTATACACGCGCGAAAACGTCCCGCGATCGCTGCGACGTGTGCTACATGTGTAGAGCGAAACCCTTACGCAACTGTCTGCAGAAGTAAACAAGATGAAAGCCCTCACGACAGGAGAGGACATCGAAAACTACAAGACAAGTCGTGCTATCAAAAAGATACACGACTACGACGCTATTAACAAGGACGAGGAAATTCTCGGAAGCGAAGCGATCGCAATGGGAATATTCGCCGAGTGTCAAGTCACGAAGAAATCAACCGGAAGTCCGATCCCAGCAATCATAAAGTGATTAATGTTTCGTCCACCATCTTAAGATCCACAAAGCAAACCAAGGTACTCAGAAGACCGGTACCATTCTGATCAACGGCATCCAAACTACAACTGAGCCAAATACCGGCGCTGACACTAACATCATGGATGAATATCAATTTCTTAGATTAAAACAACAAAGATCGGAAACAGCACTGCGAGAATCGAACATCAAATTAAAAGCACTGAACTATGACTTGCCGATCAAAGGATAATGCAAGGTACAACTGGAAAACCAGACCAGAGAAACCAGAGCAACTATCGTAGTGATAAAAGGGAAGGTTGATTCTTTGCCTCTACTTGGAAGGCCAAGCTAAGAAGAACTTGGTATGCTGAGGATAACGAAGCTGGCGGATTAAAAGAGCCAAATAAAACACTGTAACAATTTGAAAACGAAAAACCAGGGCTATAGAAAATTCTAACACTACATAAGAATCTCTTTCATAGGGTCGGTAAGGCAACAAGAGACGGTCGGGAAATACAAACACACCTGCCTATGAAAAAAAATACTATACCAATTGCCCAAAAGCCTCGACGTCTCTCCTGTCACCTCAATGAAGCACTTCAAAAGAGAATTGAGGAATTTATCGACATTGACATCATGGAGAAAGTCCCCGACCAGTAAGCTATCACTTGATACTCACCAATCGTCGTGCAACCTAAACCCAAAAACCCCAAGGACATCAGAGTGAACCTTGACCTCTGCCTCCTAAACAAATCAATGCTCCGCACACGAAACATGCAGGTACCAATTACAGAAGATTTCGCTTCAGAATTCGGAGACTGCACGGACTTTAGCAAACTTGATCTTAACCACGGGTACCATCAATTCTGCCTTGATCCTGAATCACGAACGATCATGACCTTCTCTACTCCATGGGGAAACTACCGGTACAAACGCCTAGCCTTCGGCGGGGTCAATAGTCAAGGCTTACTTGACGCAGAGACCAGAAGGATCATTTCAGGGATAACAGAAGTCCTGAACAACCGTGACGACATTACGGTGGAAGAGATCTAGGACAAGCACAACAAGACTCTGGCACAACTGGTACAGAGACTGGAGGACCACAAATTCACCTTACGACACGAAAAATGGGAGTTTGGGAGAGCATCCATTGACTTTCACGGACACTTGTTTACGCAACAGGGCGTAAAAGCGAGCCTAACCAAGATCCAAGCCGTCAAAAACTATGCTCCATCGATTCCGACGAGGAACTTGTATCCCTTCTCAAAATGGTAGCTTACCAATCCAGATACATGAGAAATTTCTCCAGGCGATCTGAACCACTGAGAAAATTCACAAAATTTGACGCAAAGTTCGAATGGTCAACCGAACAAAGCAGAGAATTCAGGGACCTAAAAGTAGCCATCACCTCAGCTCCAGTCCTAATCCCGTACAGCCCAGAACGCACCACACTTGTCATCTGTGATGGAAGCCCAAGGATTGGGAGGACTCTTTCAAAACACCCGCAAAGGATTTCGACCGGTACATTTTCTGAGCCGGACCCTAACGGACACAGAAGAGGTAGTCACAGATCGAGAAAGAAGCACTCGCAGCAGAATTCACCACAACCAGGCTCCAAATGTACCTGCTGGGTGCACCAAAATGCCAGACTGCCACCACGCATTGAAAGACTAGCCTTCAAAATATAAAACCTTGACTTTGAAATAATTCGCATTCCAAGGAAAACCAACATGACCGATAAGATGTCCAGACACCCATTGCCAGAGACAGGGAAAGAACGCCTCGAGAAATATATCATCGCCACCGTCTAATCAGAGCACGCGGTAGTCTTGGACAAAGTCGAGGAAGAAACAACAAAGGAGAGAGAGCTTACGAAGCTCGTGGCAGCCATACAAACAGGCAAATGGACCAAGAATGATCCCGACCTTAAACCCTACTTTGACATGAGAGCAGGGCCATGCATGATAGAAGAACTGATTTTAAGAATTGAAAGAATTTTCCCCCCTGAATCACGGAGAAATAAAATTTTCAAGCCCATAAGCAAGGACACTTGGGCGTCAGCGAAGAAATGTTACGCAGAAGTATTGGTTACCCGCCATGAACACTCGCATTGAAACTGTTGTGAGAAACTGCGTCGACTGCCAGATAGCAACGAACATGCAACATACGGAAGCAGCTAAGATGACCAACCTACCCGACAGACCATGGGAAAACGTCGAAATAGAGTTTTGGGGCCCACTCCCAAGAAAAGAGTACACAATTGTCATGACTGACCAGTACTCAAGATACCCGGAGGTTGAGTTTGTCCCCTCCATAGCAATCAAGGCAGTACAAAAGATGAAGAGAGCCTTTGCCTTGCATGGGGTCCCCAAGAAAGTCCAAACTGGTAATGGACCACCGTTGAACTCGACAGAACTTAAAAAGTTCTCGGCAGAAATGGGGTTCACGCACAAGAAAATCATGCCACACCACTCAAAAGCCCAGGGACAAGTAGACGGTTCTAATAAGTTCATAAACAAAACAGCTGCCATGGCACACGCTGAAGGAGTTGATCTCCAAGAAGCAACGTATGACATGCTCCAACCATACAGGGAAGCACTTCACCCGGCAACAGGAACAGTCCCATATGAGCTACTAACGAACCGAATAGTTCGTACCAAGCTCGATCATTACTCAACAGAAAAGCAAGTAAGGATGAAGACGTCAGATAGTGAAACACCAGCTACAAACAGAGATTGAGGGCTTACCATGACACCAGACACAGAGTCAAGGAACACAAAGTCAAAGCGGGTGAGAAGAAACGAATCGGAGATACACAATTCGAGCCATATGTCATATAGCCACGCAGATTATCGGCTGTACAATTCATGCCAGGAGAGTAAATGATGGGAAACAGTACGCAGGCATGCATCCAAATTCAAGCGGCTCAGAACCACTTACTTCCCTTCCTAGCGATTATATGATGTTTAGAACATGAGGTTTAAGGAACTGATCTGGAGAAGGAAGAGTGTATTGATTACACCATTGCACACGTAATGTAATGTAATCAAAAAAGAGATTACAGTTCAGTTACACCCGACACGAAATGCGTGTCATCCTTAGTCACATTATTATAATGGTTGATTTCATTGGTACTTCCACAATTTCTGGTTGAGTCGCTATGGATATCAATTCACAGCTCACAAGTCAGTGAGTAATGTATCGCATGAAACATTCATGAAAAAACCCTAAGACACTAAATATTCCCAAACTTTCCAACCTAACAAGTACACGTGGCCTTAACTATCATTTGCACCAATGTATCAACCCCTCCTTTTTGGCCGCATCTACAGTCTCCCTCTTCATTGTTTCACATTATTCACCGAATAATCCTAACCATTTACTCAATGTGTTCTATGTGTTTATTCTCCATTTCAACTCGAGGGATCTAAGTCTTTGGTTTTTTTTTTTCGATAAACATAACTTCCTGCGTACACATTTTTCTAAGCTCGCAAGATTGGTAGCAAGAGTGGAATGCCAGTATACTTTTGGTGTTTACACAAAATGGGACAGATTCCTTCAGGAAATACAGAGAAGCCGTACCCGTGTTGATCACAATCAGTATAAGAGCAATTACACAAAGAACTACCTTGAGATGGTTGATAGAGAATTAGAAACGATGAATGAAGAAACACACCGACAGGAGGTACCAAACGAAACGCAAAACAGAACACGACAAGCGCGAGGACGAGAGCATGGAAACAGATACGAGAAAGTGTTTTTCGTGGATATAGGCAGCATGGAAGAAAACCAAGTAAGGCCTCTTAATTCTTGTTTGTGACAAAAATTCTATGAGAAACAGAAACGGCCAGCTCTGGTTATCATGCGTAATCGTAGCCTCGAGAAATACAATTGAAAGAAAACGGTCAACACGAGAACAGAGTTAAAATGGTGTGAAAGGGTAATTGTTCAAAAATATAAACGTATATAACATATAGTATATAGGGGAGCCATGACCGAAAAACAGCAATAGCCACAAGCAATCAACAGGAGAGTAAGCAAATAAGCTCAGTTAACTCAAATGTATCATTCTATTGATTGTGCTATCTTCTTTTAGTTGCCTTTCGCAGACTACCAAGGAGAGCCAACTGAAGACAACACATTGGTGAGTATTTGTAAAGCTTAGACCAAAAGTAAACTGAAGTCGAAAAATCCTAAAACCAAAAGTGCGCCATTGAGAAAATTTCCTGTAGTTTGCACGACACTCAGAACTGTTGCGTGAGGCTGCCAACATTGGTGATTCACTTATTGAAGGTAAGTCGGTATCAGGTACCAATCTATGGACTGGCTCGTATTTTATTAGATTCCCGATAAGCCCGTTTTGCATGGACTCCTGGTAAGCCTTTTTTTAAACGAACCACGGAGGAAGAATACTCAAATGCAAAAAGCAAGTAGATGCAGTCAACGCCTATGCTTTGAAAGAGATCAGATCGCGTACATCTCTGCATCTGTATTTCCCTTTTTCTACAGGAGGAAACGTACACTGAAGGACAAAGGAGTTTTCTAAAGTTTGAGAGAGCTCTAGGAGAGACTGCAAGGGACTTAAAAGGCCCAATATTAATACGAGTAGCTGATAATGTCTTTCAAAGAGCTGGGAAAGTGTTCGAACAGTTTCAAAACCTCTTGGAATATATCAGAGAAAAGAGGAATGAACCTCTGGATCGTCTAGATGCAATGAAGAAGGATCTTGCCTCCCTTCAGGAACTTAAAGAGAGTATTAAGAGCACGAAGGAATTACTGCATGGCATTTTAAATGATGATGCCATCAACGAATTGGAAGGAGAACTTTGTGAGCGCCTTCAGAACTGTAAATCAGAAAAGGAGACTTTAAACCAAATGTTGCAGAAAGTGAACGATCAAATGAAAGCATCTATTGAGAGAGAAGATGAAGAAGTCAACAAAAAGTATAAACAGTGGAGAGAAAATCGTAAATCTGACCATGAATTTAGTTTGAGTGAGGCGTTGCCAAACTATGGAATTCACCAGTACCACCCCTTTACCTTACCAAGGGGTGTGGGCCCTGTCCTTATGGGAGTCACTTGCGGGATAGCAGTTGGAGCAGCAGTTGGAACTGTAGGCGCTGCCTTGGCACCCGCAGCAGTAGCTGTAGGTAAGTGATTCTGATTGTTGTAAATAAACTATCTCTTTATTCAATTCGCTGGATATTTAGCTCATCAAAATCCATTCGCCAGTTTTAGTCTACCCTGTAAATATGCGGCGCGAAATTTATTTCCTTACAATCCTTACAACAAATACCTTGTAACCGTCTTTAAAAAGAAAATTTTTGCAAATATAATGGAAGGAAAAGAAAAGTTTAAGGTTACTCGTGATAACTAAAAAGCCAAAACGTTATCCTTCAGTAATCTTTGTTTTCTTGCAGGGGCGCTTGAAATAGGTATAGCTGCAAGTGCTGGTGGTGGAGCTGGATTAGTTGGAACGATTGGGGGTTTGGTAGCCTACAGAAGGAAAAGTTTTATAAGAGAGCGACAAAAGAGGAGGGAAGTTGCTAAACAGTCGCTCGGAAATAAATTAAAGAAATATAGAGAAGTTGATCGCAACTCACCACCGTTGGAGGAAATTGAACGGATCTCCTCCAACATTTCCTGTGAGATAGAACGCCTGAGAGAACAATATGAATCATCTGAAGAGATTCAAGACCTTCGTGTAGAAATCACACAGCTAGAAAAGCGGATTGAGGAAATTTCCGGGATCACAACCCGTCTGCAGGTGATGAGAGGAAAACTTAACGAGCTGGGGCGAGAGTAAGTGGTACAGATGTAGCCCTCTAAAATGACCGTAAATCGTTATATCTCTTAACTGATCATTGTTGAATTACGCCACAAGACGTCGATGGAATGTTTGCCGTTATACCACGATAACGTCATCCAGGAAATGTGGCCAAGATAATCGCTAGCTTTAGATGTTATCCATGATTCTAAAAACGGAATTCACTCTCAAATAACGAGAAATAGCAGATAATTTGACCGAAAATTTATATATGAAACTTTTCTCACGATTCTTTATCATTATTCAGACTTAAAGTTAAAAAAAGTACGTAGTTGACTCGAAATTAACTTAAACACGGTGCCACTTGCATGAGAGCGTTATCTTTTTCACCCCAAGAAAAAATGACAAAAAAAAAATTTTACCTGTGTAACAACAAATTCAATTTCAGGATGAACTGCACCACTGTGGAAGTTTCACCCGATGACCAGACAGAAGACCAAACAGAACACCAGACAGAAGACCAGTCACCAATGAGTATGACCGAAATAGGTGCTGGATTCTCTATTCAGTGATTATGAATGTGGAGCAAAAACGTCTAAGATGGGAAGAATGTATTGAGCTTCTCATATGTCTTGAAAAAATCGAACGTTAGCGATGAGGAAAATATGGTTGATTTTGAATATATTTATCCTCTGGGAAAGGAGACCTACATGTGTTGCTTACGTTTCACTTCTCGTGCTGTGTTAGGAAAGAAAATAGTTTTCAAAACGTTAGCTTAAGGACAAGCATGTTTGTCTATTTCTAAGCCAAAAGAATCAGCCATGAGTGGCTAGTCTGCGTAGCTGGTTGAAGCCAGACGAAGAAAAGAGATGTTCGAAGAGATAATTGAGGCTTCTCCACTCACCGCTGAGCGCACACAAAGCCTTAAGGCTGAGTAGGCTATGTCTCGCTGTATCAAGGCTTATTAGGAAATTCCGAAAGGTCGATGTTAAGAGATATGTTTTCATTTTATAGTAGCCATTTGCTTTATCTTCCTAGTTCAGAAGAGAGTTTCATGTCCAGTAAAGAATTCTTCATTTTCCTGAAAAAAAAACTTGCCGTTGGTGCCAGCGGATGATCGGGAATGTTATTACAAACGGTAATATTAACCCAGTGTGTTTGTGTTTGTGAATCAGGAGTTACTCAATAAGGAGAAAATGATTAAATACATAAGAGTAAAAGCATTGAGTTAAAGCGACCGGTTTCAATATTTTTAACTCGAACATTTTTTGATTCATATAACTGTTCTGTATTTCAATCTTGGGCGAGTCAATTCCTGACTTTTACAATTAACTTTGCTTTGCCCAAGATCCCTAATGTGTGTATGAGGGGGCTTAATAATTGCTTAAGTAATAAGTACATTTACCCAATAGAATTCCTCGTGGTAGATTATCTTCCTCATTCTTAACACATTTAGCAAATAGCCATATCATTAACCAGTGTAATTTGGATATATCAACAAAGTTGAAATGGTAAATTGGCCACCGTAACGATTACAAAAGCTGACGTTTCGAGCGTTAGCCCTTCGTCGGAGTGGTTTTCTATGAGGGGTCATCTCCGCCAATATCCTGTTTCAAATTCTGTTCTAAAAACCTGTATGCTATTGCTTTTTTCAAATTCTTTTCAGAATAGAAATTGGCGAAACAGAATAGAAATTGGTGAAACAGAATAGAAATTGGCGAATCAGAATAGAAATTGGCGAAACAGAATAGAAATTGGCGAAACACAATAGAAATTGGCGAAACACAATAGAAATTGGCGATGTCTCTATTTCTATTCAGTTTTTGCGACGAACCGAGTGGAACCTGAGTAAGAGCCAGTTAAACATTATAATTTATTCTCCCGATTCCCGCTCAAAGAAAATTTATTCTTGCCTGATGACCAGTCTATTTACTGACCGTACTCACTAATATGTGATATAGAGAATCCGCCGACAGTTGCAAAATTTTGTAATTCGTTTTATTTTTTCTAAAGGACCCTTTTAATGAACCTTTTTCGAAAATTATATCAAAAAGTTCTATGCGCCTTTTTTCCTCCGAAAAAGCGAAAAGTTCGAAATCCGCCTAAATGGCCGTTGTCCTCCCCGTAAAGCAATGAAAAATGATACAACTTTGGCAACTTCGTACGCTACAACGCGATGCAATCCCGCTTTTAAATTTTGTGTTCTAGCAGATGGTCCTTTTATCTCTTAGGAAATATTAATTTCTTGTTATTTTGTTTCGTTCAAGTCTGAATAGTGACCCGTTGAAATAAAGTACGTTGAACGGCTGTCACGCAAGAGGTCAACTTGGCCAGGAATGTACCAAATACATAACCTCTTGCGTGACAGCCGTTCAACGTACTTTATTTCAACGGGTCACTATTCAGACTTGAACG